GCTTACATATTACAATGTGGAATTTTTCCAGTTGAATTCAGTTGAACATTGTTCAACAGAGAAACACTTTCGATTGAAAAATTCAACTGGAAAAAAGCGAAGAACGGATTTGGGTAAGTTGCAGAAATTTTTCCAGATATTACAAACCAGAGAAATTCTCAATTGTTATTTTTAATAAACCAAAGAAATTCTCAATTGATATTTGAATAACAAACCAGAGAAATACTCAGATTTTTCCAGAATTTCTCTAGTTCTGGTAAGTTGCCATTGTTATCCCATTCTAATGTTGCTTACATATTACAATGTGAAATTTTTCCAGTTGAATTCAGTTGAACAATGTTGCTTACCTAATGAATCAGAATGATTTGGATGTGAATGAGAAGAAAAGTAGAGAAACTCATCCAGAGAAATTTGGTCCAGAGAAATTTCTTTGGGCCAAAATTTCTCTGACCAATTTTCTCTGCACTGAAATTTTTCTGGACTAAAATTTTTCTGGACTAATTTTCTCTGGACTGAAATTTCTCTGGATCAAGGTTGAGGGACCTTAGACATTATGAAAATATTGTTGAGGGACCTTAGACATTATGAAAATATTGTTGAGGGACCTTAGACATTATGAAAATATTGTTGAGGGACCTTAGACATTATGAAAATATTGTTGAGGGACCTTAGACATTATGAAAATATTGTTGAGGGACCTTAGACATTATGAAAATATTGTTGAGGGACCTTAGACATTATGAAAATATTTAGTGTCCTTTATGCTATAAAATCATAATACCAGAGACCTTAAAAAAAATCCTAAATTCTACTCTTTTTTTTGGTTTTTTTTTTTTTTTGATTGATTCGTTAAGCAGGGTCATATATCATCTTTAGAATTAAAAAAATTAAAAAAAAAAGTGCAAGTGATTAATTGTTTTAATTAAAAAAAAATTAAAAAACATATCAAAACAAGATTCAGTATAAAATGTAAGAGTAAAAATTATAATTTACTCTATCAAAAAAGAATTGTACATAAAAAATATCAAATAATTACAATAAATTTACACTTAACGTTGAATCTCGTTTTTTTCCCTTTTACTTTTCACTTTCCAATTATGATAGTAAAAAACTTTCATTCAAGTCAAATACAATCTCATTATTTGGTTGACTTTCATATAAGTCATGTAATTATCACATGTTGGTGAACAGTACCCTATGTGATGCCATTACCTATCCTAGTGGACAATAGCAATTCCCTTTTCTTTTTTTTTTTGGCCTTTTTTTTATGATCATAGGAATTTCGGAGCTTAGTTTTAACTATTCTAGGCTACATACAATCTTTATTGAGAGATTTATTAGAAAATTATTTTTCAAATATTTGTATTCTAATTAATTTATAAGATATTTTTATATTCCAATAAATTCTATTATTTGAACATTTGATCTACCAAATCTTAATTCTCATATTTAAAGTATTTTATGAACATTTATACCCTTACAAATATTTTTTGAACGGTTAACAATTTGGTGATGTGAACATTCATATTTTGCAATGTGAATATTCACATTGACAGTGTGAACATTCACATTAACATGTAGACATTCACATTGATGGTGTGAACATTCACATTGGCAGTGTAAAATTACGGAACATTCACACTGTAAATGTGAATATTATTAGAAATATTTTGATAACTATGTCACTCATAGACTTATTAAAATATAAGAAAATAATATGAATTAAATGAAACATAAGTAGATGAAAATAAATTTATGAAAAAGTGTCCCTTCAAATAAACTACACCAGAATGAAAAAAAAAATTAAAAATACAAATTCACTCTATTGTCATTCACATTAGCGGTATGAACATTCACATTACGAAACATTCACACTGTAAAAATGAATATTATTAAGGATATTTTGATAACTATATATCACTCATAGAACTTACTAGAATATAAGAAAATAATATAAACTAAATGAAATATAAATAGATGAAAATAGATTTATAAAAAAGTATCCCGTAAAATAAACTACACCAATATGAAAAACAATAAAAAATTTAAAAATACAAATTCACTCCATTGTTCAAATCCATACCCTACTTCATGAGATATCCCACCAATGTTTTAATTTCTAGCACAATGATAATTGCCTGTTCAAATTAAATGGCATCAATCTCTCATTCATATAGTTCTAAAATAAATATTAAAAAAAAAAATGTTTGATGGCCATAAATTATGTGGCTCAAATGGTTCGAAAATATCAAAACGATGGCATCAATCTCTCATTCATATAGTTCTAAAATAAATATTAAAAAAAGAAAAATGTTTGGTGGCCATAAATTCTGTAGCTCAAATGGCCCGAAAATGTCAAAACGATGGCATCAATCTCTCATTCATATAGTTGTCAAAACGACATCGTTTTAATATTTTCAAACCACAAAATTTGTGGCAACCGATCAATTCTCTTAAAAAAAAAAAAAATCATTCATTCCATTATTCAAATGGGTTATGTTCCGGAACTCTAATTAGAGTTGCAAAAGGACAGCTCTAATGAGCTGTTAACCAATAAAAAAAAAAAATAGTGAAGTAAAAGACAAAAAAGAGGGAAGAAAAAGACAAATTAATACTCTATTAAAGCTCTTCTTTTAGAAGTCTAAATCATTTTTGTTATTCAAATTCATATCCGAATTTCAAGATGTGATGCACTTTAGTCAACTTTTACTTCTTTTTTTTAACAGAATTCAGTCGCCCTTCTCCCTCACCATCTCTTACACCTAGAGAATATTCTTCTGCTTTATAATTTTTTATTCGAAACATTTTGTTCTCATTCTCTTCAAATACTAACAACCTAAATATTTTTTGAAAAAATGTTTCAACAACTTAGAAAAAAGAAAAGAAGAAACTATTTTACTACTGTATTACACTGTACACCACCACTCTGAGCTCTTCCCACTTGTAGACAAAAAAATAAAATACCTCTCTCTCTCTGCACAAAACCCCCTTTTTTGATTTAAAGATCCAAAAAGAAAAGAGGTAACACCAAATCAAAGTATCAAACACAAAACCCTTCAATCTTTCCTAATTTTTTCCAAAACCCATCTCTCAAAATCCCTCCAAAACCCTAAAAATCTATCAAAAACCAACCATGATTTGATATCCATATCCTTATCTCAAAATCCCCACAAATCTATCAATGGGTGTATTACCCACAAAACCCTTTTGCCTCCTCTCTCTTTTCCTAATCTTCCATGTCAATCTTGATCTCATCCCACTGTCTGAATCTGCATCTGATTACTCAACCTTGGTCTACAAGGGCTGTGCAAAGCAAGAACTATCAGATCCAACTGGGGTTTACTCACAAGCAATCTCAACACTTTATGGGTCTCTGATTTCACAGTCCTCCAATGCCAAGTTTTTCAAAACCACCACTGGTAGTGGCCAAACAACCATCACTGGTCTCTTCCAATGCAGAGGAGACCTCTCAAATGTTGATTGCTACAACTGTGTGAGCCAACTTCCAATCCTCATTGACAAGCTATGTACTGGCCAGCCCATTGCAGCTAGAATCCAACTCATGGGTTGTTACATGCTCTATGAGATTGCTGGTTTTACACAAGTCTCTGGTATGGAAATGCTTTATAAGACTTGTAGTGGGCAAAACAAGCAAGGGAGTGGATTTGAAGAGAAGAGAGACACTGCTTTGTCTGCTTTGGAAAATGGGATTGGGAGTAGTGGAAATGGGGGTTTCTACACAACTAGCTATGACTCTGTGTATGTGTGGGGACAGTGTGAGGGTGATTTGGGAAGTGCTGATTGTGGGGATTGTGTGAGGAGTGCTGTTCAGAGATCTCAGGTTGAATGTGGAAGCTCTGTTTCAGGACAAGTGTATCTTGACAAGTGTTTTATTAGCTATAGTTATGGCTCCTCTGGTAGATCATCTTCATCTTCATCATCTTCATCATCATCATCATCATCATCATCATCATCATCTTCTTCTTCTGCTTCTTCGGAGTCTGATACTTCATCTTCTCCATCAGGTAATGTTAGGGGTAATTTTGGGAATTTATGTGATTTGTGATAGAAACAGAGGTCGCTGTGAGGTTGCCTTTTTTTGGTTTTTTCCTTCAATTATTTTGAGGGAATCATTGGTTATATTTGTATACTTTCTCAATCTAAATAAGTTTTTTTTTTTTTTTTTTAATAATAATTTTGCCCTACTTTGAATTAGAGATTTTTATGGTTTAGTTTTGTACAATGAATAAAAATCTAGGCATTGGTTTGTAATGAATGAAATTGGATACAAAAAATGAGGTGGGTTTTTCGAAAAACAAAAAGTTTATTTGACAAACTATTTTTTAGGCAATTTTTTTGGAATCACTCATTTTTAGGAAACAATTTTTTAATTATTTTTAAAAAAATTTGGAACTATTTTCATACAAAAATAAAACAATGGGTATTTTCAAGTTTTTTTATTACTAAAACATAAAAGCACAAAATTGAAATAAAATACCAACTAACTTTATTTATCACACGATCCTATATACCATTGGAATTGAATTTTACCACAAAAAAATAGTTTTATTTTATCACTAAAATTGACTCTTACATATTTACCCTTTTTCATTAGTGTGTTAATTACAAAAATATAGTATATGTAACTCATTTGTTGGGTATAATACCTGAAAACTACTATTAGTTTTATGTATACTAGTTGAACCCCTTTGATTCTTAGTGGTCTCTCCCTCTATACTTGTTTGTAATGATAGAAAACAAAACATATTTTGTAATTGATCCAAAATAGTGGAGTTCACACTTTCAAATAGAATCAATACAATACATTTTTTGAATGGGGAATCAATACAAGTTTATGTTTTTATTCACACATTTTATCCGTGTGTGAACGAAATCATTTTCTAGAAAGGGTTTCAAAATTGATAATTAATTAATATGGTATGTGTTTAATTCATGAAATTGTAGGGTCCTCAGGGAAAAACACAACAAAGACAGTGGCTATTATATTAGGAGGTGCAGTTGGAGTGGGGCTTCTTGTTATTTGTTTGATGTTTGCTAAAAATTCAATGCAAAAACATGATGGTAAGTTCATATATATAAGTATATTTGTTTATACATATATATGTATATATATATATTTTAATGCTATTGTGGTTGGAATGTGTGTGTTGCTTTGTGCAGATTTTTGAAAGGAGAAGATGGGGTTAAAGAGCCAAAGTTCTTTTTGAGGTGGATTCTTTCTTCTTTCTTTTCCCTTTTTTTTTCATATATGAGGGCGGTTTTTGTGGTGGAGGGGGGAAGGAGGGAGGGTTGTTGTGTAATTTTTTTGTAATAGGTCAGAAATTGTAGACACAGAAAAAAAAAAAAAAAAAAAATGAAGGAGCATGAAAGCAAGAAATGATTTTTCACAAAATTGAAAAAAAGAAGAAGAAGAAGAAGAGAAGAAGAAAGAAAAAGCATGAATATATGTCATTTTGATAATCAGTAATGCTACAAATTTGAAAAAAAAAAAAAAATAATTTGATTGTAAAAATGTACACAACTATTGTGTTTTGGCATACTGTATTTATCCAGGTAAAGTGTGAGCCAACTAAGGTGAATGCAATCTTAGCAGGAATGGTGTCCACTAAGTTGAGTGTGTTCACTTGAATACCTTAAAAATAGTAGTTAGTACTATTAATAGTTATATTTTGAATATTTTTTATTTTTAAAAACTCTTTTTGAACATCTTTATGCTTCACTTGTCATCTCTCAATCTTTATGTTTTTTTTTGCACACCTTGTTCCCTTTTTTTTTTTTTTTTTCCTCCTCATATCATGAGCTGTTTATTTGAGTCCACTTTATTAAATTTTTGAACCAACTCTCTATATCTATTCCACTTCATTCCATTTTTTTTTATACTAATTTTCAAACATAACTTTCTATTTTATTTTGGCTTCGTTTGGGAAGTGGTTATTTTAGTAGGCTATTTGACTTTTTGACTATTTTAGTAGGTTATTTTAGTTTTGTATTTGGGAAGATGAAATGAATTTTTAGTTGAATTCTTGTATTAGAAAGTGTGTTGAAATAATGTTTAAATTAAAAATGACAAATTTATCCCTAATTTTTTATTTTTTAAATTGATATAAAAGGGCAAAATGGTAATTTTGCCGTTGATGTACCAATTTCCGGCTGTGACAGTGTAGGCACAGCCTATACTGTCCAGCGCAGAGCCTTTTTTTTTTTTTTTGAAAAATTGTAAACAGTGCCGCTTTTTTGCTTATTTCTCATTTTAGGCTATATTAGCCTCACCCACCTCTTCTCAAACGGCGCCTTTATTTTGTTTTTTGAATTGTTATAAAGTTATTCTATTAGTCAAGAGTCCATTCATCACAGAGGTTAGAGGTTCCATTTTGTCAATCTACATGTCCTTGGTACTTGTTTGAAGTCTTGCTTATATGTTTGTTGTATAATTGGGATTGTGTTGGATTTTCTTTTATAGTTGCATTTTTGCTTTGATCTAATTTTCACACTATTTGTAATAATTTATCTTCTATTAATTAATATAAACAATTACTCTAATAAAAATTCTTAAAGTCGTCAAGTGGCTAGTAGGACTTTTCTATATTGATAGAGAATTTATTCTCCTTTTCTTTATAAGTTCACTATAAAATTTATATTAATGTCTAAAATTACACATAATGTATAGTATAAAATAAATTTTTACATGTATTTATAGAAAGATCTTATCAATGACAATTCTAAAGGCCGTTAACAGAAAGTCCAAATGTCAAAATATAATCTCAATATATTTATCTATCTATATAATGAAAATGAAGTTTTTAATAATGAGTTTTGTGAGAGTTTTAATATTTTATAATAATTTTTTTAATTTTAAATAATTAAGAAAATTTTCATTGGGTAACTTCTATTTGATAATCTCACATTCGGAAGAGAAGAAAAAAAATTGAGATGTTTTATTTATATAAAGTGAATTTTATACGCTTATCTTATTTAATATCGTAGTGTTGTTCATATTTCAATTCAATATAGTTTAAATTTTAAAAGTTTTAATTAATTAATTTTGACCTAGCCGATTAGGTTAAATCATTTTTGATTTGATTGATTTATTGGTTTAATCGCGATTTTAACAGTTTTATCAAGATATATTGATTAGATTTCAAATAAATTAAAGATTGATCTGATTAAAGATTAAAAGATTGAGATTGCTTGATTAGAAATAAACTTTCAGTCTAAATAATTGTTAATTTTTATTTTATAATCCCATATCAAAAAAAGAATAAAAAATTGAGTTTTTCACTTATAAAAAATGAATATTAATTGTATAATATTGCATATACTTCAATTCAAGACAATTTAAATTTTAAAATTAAAATAACATTTAAAAGTTTTAATTAATTAATTTTTATTTAAGCTGTTTGGTTGGTCATTTAACCTAACTGATTAGGCTGAATCATTTTAGGTTTGATTGATTCACCGATTTAATCGCAATTTCTCATATTGATTTTATTAATTTTAAACAATTAAAAAAATTTCTTTGGTTAACTTCCATTCAATCATGAAAATAAAACTGTAATTAGTTTCTGGAGGAGAAGAAATAGCGAAGTTTGTTTCACTATATATTATATAAGGGAAAATGGGGTTTTTAGTAAGGAGTCTGAGAGTTTCAATATCTATTAAGAAAATTTTCATTGGTTAACTTTTATTTAATATTCCCACATCGGAAGAAGAAGGAAAAAAATGAGTTGTTTTACTCATATAAAGTGAATCTTATACTCCTATTCCATTTAATATTGTAGTATTGTGCATATTTCAATTCAATATAGTTTAAATTTTAAAAGTTTTAATTAATTAATTTTTATATAACTTGATTTTTTGACCTAGCCGATTAAGGTAAATCATTTTTGATCTGATTGATTCGTTTGTTTAATAACGATTTTAGCGGTTTTATCAAAATATATTGATTAGAATTGTTTGATTCAAAATAAACCAAAGATTAAAAGACTGAGATTGTTTGATTAAAAATAAACTTTCCGTTCAAATAATTGTTAACTTTTATTTTATAATCTCACATCAAAAAAAGAAGAAAAAAGTAAATTGTTTCATTTATATAAGGTGAATCTTAATAATGTAGTGTTGTGTATATTTCAATTCAAGATAATTTAAATTTTAAAATTAAAATAACATTTAAAAGTTTTAATTAATTAATTTTTGTATAAGTTGGTTGATCATTTAACCTAACCGTTTAGGCTGAACCATTTTAGGTTTGATCAATTCGCCTGTTTAATCGTGATTTCCCATACTGATTTTATTTATTTTAAACTCTTAAAAAAAAATTCTATTGGCTAACTTCCATTTAACTATATAAAAATAAAACTCTAATTAGTTTATGATTTATTTTATAACCCCACGTCAGGAGAAAAAGAAAAGGTAAAGTTTGTTTCACTTATATAAAGTAAATCTTATACTTCCTTTTAATATTGTAGTATTGTGCATAATTCAGTTCAAGATAGTTCAAATTTTAAAATAAAAACTCTAATTAGTCTATGATATAATTTATTTCATAATCCCACATCGAAAGAATAAGGAAAAACTGAATTACTTCACTTATATAAAATGATCTTATACTCCCATTTAATATTGTAATGTTGTGCATGTTTCAGTTCAAGACAGTTTAAATGTGAAAGTTTTAATTAATTAATTTTTGTATAAGTTGGTTGATCTTTTGACCTAACCAATTAGGCTGAATAATTTTTTGTTTGACTAATTCACTGATTTAAACTGCAATTTTAACAGTTTTATCAAAATATATTGGTTGGATTTGTTTGATTCGAAATAAACTAAAGATTGACTTGATTAAAAATTGAATGACTGATTGCTTGATTAGAAATAAACTTTCAGACTAAATAATTGTTAACTTTTATTTTATAATCTCACATCGAAAAAATAAGAAAAAAGTGAGTTGTTTCACTTATATACAATAAATCTTATGTTACTATAATATTATAGTACTGTGCATGTTTTAATTTAAGACAATTTAAATTTTAAAATAAAAATAACACTTAAAAGTTTTAATTAATTAATTAATTAATTTTTATATTAGTTGATTAGTCTTTTGACCTAACCAATTAAGTTGACTCGTTTTTTATTTAACTGATTCGCTGGTTTCATCGCGATCTTAGTAGTTTTATCAAAATATATTGGTTAGATTTGTTTGATTCGAAATAAATTAAAAATTGATCTAATTAAAGATTAAAATACTGATATTGTTTGATTCGAAATAAACTTTATGTCTGAATAATTGTTAATTTTTATTTTATGCAATCCCATATCAAGAAAAGAAAAAAAAAAAAAAGTTGTTTCAGTTATATAAAGTAAATATATGTTCCCATTTAATATTGTAGTATTATGCATGTTTCAGTTGAAAACAGTTTAAATTTTAAAGGATAAATTACAAATACACCCCCTGAGGTTTTATTAAAATATGAATCGCTCCTTGTGATTTCAAAAATTACATTTCACCCTGAGATTTTTAATTTCATAACAAATTATCCATTTTATTAATAAATCATTAAATCAATTAACAGTTTTTAATGATGTTAAAAATATGTTTCAATTAATAATTTGGGTAATTTTATTATTGTATGGAAGAGCAATTATGAATTTTATTTTTTCAGTTAATTCTGTTAAATAAAAAATTGTAATAAGGGACTATTTGTAATTTTTCAAACCACAAGAACTAATCTGTATTTTAAGCAAACCTCAGAGGGTGTATTTGTAATTTACCCAATTTTAAAATAAAATAAAATAAAATTGAAAAGTTTTAATTAATTAATTTTTGTGTAAGTTGGTTAGTCTTTTGACCAATTTTAACGATTTTATCAATATATATTGTTTTATTTCTAAAAAAATATATTACAGTTTTATGACAAATTTTAACATAGAATAAACTAAAACTAAAAATTTATAAAATGAAATTTATTTTTATTTTATCATAAATGTTTATATATATATATATATATATTAATTTATTTTATTTTTTTCATCTTCACCAATTAAATTATGACAACTGCAATATATATTCTAATAAAATGGATAAAATTTAATTCATTCTAAATTATTTTTCTATACTTTTTAAATAAATTTTATATTATTATTTAATTTTAAAATTATTTTTAATTATTTATTTAATCCGTGCATCGCACAAGTTCATATACTAGCTCTTTAAATATCTCAAACTATTTTTACACATTTTATTTTTTTTTAATATTAATAATTTTCTGTTTGGCTATTTTTAACAAAATATTTTTTTTAATAAAAAATGCAATGAGATATTTGCTAAGTTGGTTGATCATTTAACCTAACCGTTTAGGCT